CTCAAAACATTTAGTGTTTATGAAAAATCCATCCTAATAGGATTGTAGAACAGACAGCAGCGCACACTATATGTAAAAATGGTGAGAATTGGTCAGAAACTGAATTTTTTGAAGCCGACTCAATGTTGAAACTCTAGTTTTAGAGATAATTGAAGTTGAAGTTATCGACAACGTATAAGGTAGTTCTAATTCGTTAATTTACTTGTATGTTTTAATAAACATTGTTTGGCATTTGTACTTGAATGTGAGAAAGTTGTAGGTCAATATGTGTTGAAATGAAGTCAAGAAAAATCCCCCCCCCAAAAAAAAAGGATAATAATTATAATGATTTGGGAATATATTTAGGGTATACTTTATATTAGTCAAAAAGCCCTAATCTTGTCCGTAATCATCAAAACAATCTAAAGAAACAAGGAAAATAGAGTTTGAAATCTGTGAAAAAATCAGCCCCAAAAAAATTCAAAGTCCCAAGTTCTGCCAGTTATGACTGATTTATTTGTTGACGGATTTAATTCTTTTTTCACATAGTTCTGGAAAAGTATGCATTCTCCTGGATGTAAAAGTTACAACAAAATCAGATAATAAATAGAGAAAAAAATTTCCCTTAAAAAAAAAAAAAAACTTGGACATTGGTGAAAGTAACAGGTACAGTATTATTATTGAACAATGTATTTGTATGACATAACAAAATAGAGCATAACATATTTACTCATTATTACTTATTATGTATTACTCAGCAATGCTATTAAAGCACCAGCTGCATATCCACTTTGTGGGCACTTTTAACTACTACTATTCTTTGTGCATTGGACAGGTGCTTGCATCTCCTTATTACTACATTATCCCTCAGTTCCAGTTCATAGGAGCTATTCTCCTTATCAACAAAACGTTCTTCTTTAAGAAAAAAATTGTCTAAAATCCATTTCTGAAAATATTGGAATGAAACTTTCATGATGCTGAAGTCAATAAGTTGGACATTTGTTTAACATTTAATATTAATTTTCACATAATTCATATATATTTTCACCCAGCCCAAGCTTATACCCCCATTTACAGCCCAGGCTATAGCAGTGTAAGGGTTAATCTAACAGATAATTATAAGTAGGTAAATTCTAGCAAAATTTATAAAATGATAACAGATACATTGCAAGAAAAAAAATGAGACGAGAGAGATTAGTAGGTATATTAAAGCACATCAGTAGCTCTGATTGATTGCATTGACAGCTTGATTGGTAATTTAATAAAGATTAAGGCACAATACAGCATATTGATAGCACATATAAGAAGACAGCAATGATCACAATGGTAAAGTTGTTTGGATTAGGTACATAAGGATTGGGGGATTGGGTAACACTAGATACAGTGCAATTTTAAAGCACAAGGTAGGAAACTATGAAGATGAAATTAGGTACTTTTTGTTTTTGTTTTTGAATGAGGCAAAAGTTGGACAGCTTTTCAATTCATTAGGGAGTGAGTTCCAGAGTGTTTACACAGATTAAGTTTGACTCTGGGGATATCAGATATTTATTTCTGGTGTGGTGATAATGGGTCCTATTACATCTGTCCAGGGAGAGTTACAGAGCAGGGGTTGCATTTAAGAATAGGGTTTTGTAAATGTAATTGACAAGAGAATGTGTGGAGTGAGTTTATGTTTAGCATGTTTAGTGATTTAAACATAGGGGCTGAGTGTTGTCTGAAAGCAGGGTTTGTTATTATTCTGATAGCAGATTTTTGCTGGGTGATGATGAACTTGGTGTTTGCAGTGGTTGAACCCCATGCACAGATACCATAATTAAGATAGGGATAGATTAGTGCATAATATAATGAGAGGAGAGCAGTTAGGTACATAATATCTGATTTTGAAGAGTATACCAACTGTTTCAGAGACTTTCTTAGTTATGTGTTGTATGTGGGTGCTGAAGTTGAGTCTCTTGTCTAGGAATAGGCCAAGAAACTTTCCATCATTTTTAGTACTGATGTTAACATTGTCTATCTGAAGCTGAAGTGCATTTGTTGATTTGCTTCCAAATAAGATGTAGTAGGTCTTTTCTATATTTAGTGTTAATTTGTTGGTAGACATCCATAAGTGGACTTATTTATTTATTTATTTTATTTATTTATTTATATACAAGGAGGAACATTGGGGGTTAACAGATAACATAGGAATTAAGTTGATTTTACATTCTTGTAAAGCCACTATCACGCATAGCGTTTCGGGCAAAATTTAAAACTAACTTTTTTAAATTCATTATTCACAACATTATTTAGTGTGTGTGGGTTGGGGTCTGAGTAGATGAGGGTATAGTAGTATCATCAGCAAACAATATAGGTTTAAGAATGTTAAGAGACATTAGGCAGATCATTGATGTATATAAGAAATATTGGAGGTCCCAAGATGCTGCCCTGTGGCACTCCAACAGTTATTGGTAGAGTGGGAGAGGTTATATCACTGATGGCTACACACTGGTGTCTATCACTAAGATATTATCGAACATAGTCCAGTGCAAGGCCTCGGATTCCATAATGATGGAGTTTAACTAAGTAGTAGTTGTGATTAACAGTATCAAAGACCTTTCTCAGGTCAATGAAGAGTCCAATCGGAAACTCATTTTTGTCAAGGGCTGAGTAGATTATATCAAGGAGACTAATAATTGCATCGTTGGTACTCTTTTGGGAGCGGAAGCCAAACTGACGGGGGCTGAGTATGTCAAATTTTATGAGGTAGGAATAGAGATGTTTGTAGATAATTTTTTCAAATATTTTTGATAGTATGGGTAGGTTTGATATTGGTAAATAATTGTTTATGTCTGCCGGATTGCCTCCTTTATGAACTGGCGTTACTCTTGCTTTTTTAAGGATATCAGGGAAGGTATGACACTCTAAAGATTTGTTGAACAGCAGAGCTATGGGTGGCGCAAGGGCATGGGAGGCGTGTACACAATATTACACACTATGTAATAGCAAAGTTAATAATAGCTAAGGGTGGTGCAAGGGCATGTAAATAATATATATCTTTTACATAACATTCTGTACCTGAATTTACTTGGAATACAGGGCATGAAACAACTTGACATAGCTTAACTAAATACATATACACAAAGATCATAAAATAAATGAGAGTTGTGTTTGCTGATACTCCAAGTATGAGGAGTACTGTGCATAGGAAACCTTCAAACAAAAATCTTTTGTTGTCCCTCATGATACATTCATTTTAATGGGTTCACAATAATGTTTACCTCTTCCTGATTACATGAAATTAAAGCTTATTAGTGTATCTTGGCAAATTACATGATTTACTCATCAGTATGAAGGGGGTTTAGTGCTGTGACAAGTAGGGGTAGGGAACATTTATAAAAAAAAAATGTACATACATCCTCACTTTGATTAAAGATGTTTTCACAGTTAAGACTTGATCATGTAACTTATATCTCTCTTCCTAGCGCATAATGAATGTTTATTGATGAATCTTGATGAAATAAAAAATATTTTTAAAGTGTTCTACACACCAGAGCATGATCGGAACTCTTTGTAATTATAATAATAATTCATTGTGTTGGGGGGACAGGAAGCCAAAGTGTATTCATACACATTTGGCTTTTATCGAGGCCCCCCCCCCCACAAGGCCGAATTACTGACCCTGCCCAGGATGCAACCCTACAACAAGCTGACTAACTCCTGAGCACCTACTTACTGCTAGGTGAACAGAGGAATTAGGTGAAAGGAAATGTGCCAAACCATTTCTGTTCTGCCCGGAATTCTCGATTGTGCGTCGAGAATGAACTTGACTGTACTACCGGGTCCTTCAAAAGGGGGTTGCCCTTAAAACTGTAATGCCATAAATTACATATCCCATAAATTTTATGGGATAACATAAAAACTGTAAAGCAGAAAATTGGAAGGAAATTTGACTTTTAGGATGGCATGGAATATGCACTCTGATCCTTAAATAACACTAATAGCCGTCACATGACAAATATAGCTTAATCCTAACATTCAGGCTGCTCTCTAATGCTCTACACATTTAAACAGTATTAAAGCACATAATACTCTCAATAATGTAGAGAAATGCACTGACACAGCTCCTGTGGGAGGAGAGTACCACGGACTCGCCATAGTGAGTACTCTGCGAGTACCACGGACTGCATGCAACTTCTGGTTTCCAGTAGCTTTTTGTTTAGTTCATTTATTATGCACCCATACCCATCTTGTGAGCAGTGGTGGAAAGGGTTACAGAGGCACAAATGGGCTCAGGGACTGAACCCCACAATTCATTTAGCTAAGCAAGTTACAATCTTGATGAGCTAGTTACAAAATGCAATACACATTGTCACATCATCATTAGGTTCGAGATCGACCACAAGTACAGTTTCTAAATTAAACAACTGACATATGTGGAGAGCTAGTGTCACAATTAATATGTTTATCCTGCACACCGCCCCCCATCCAGTGGGCAGCGGTGGATCCAAGTAGCTCGGTCTAAAACCAAAATTCAAAATAAAATGTTTATTCAGGTAAAGTACATACAAGGTGTGATACAAATATTGATGAATTTATAGATAGAGCTAGTACATATAATGCAACGTCGAAAAATGGAGCACAAGCCAAATCATACAAAGGCATTTTAACAAGCTTATTTGTGCTTTGTCAATAGTGTGTACGAACCTAACCTAGGCATTGCTAACCTTGGTCAGGTTGTTAGCGTGGGGGTTAGTCCGTGCATGTCTAGCCTCGGTTAGGATAGTGGTTAAGTAGGTTATAATATTTGTGACTTGTATAGCCAGGGGAAAACACCAGCATTATAAGACTAACCTAATGCTAAATCACGTTTTGAATACAGTATAAGCACAGAGCTTCATCAAAGGAAAAAAATGTCCTCAATTATTAAGAAGTCTTCTCCCCTTTCACTATATGCAATCGCAGATCAAACACACAATGAATGATAGACAGTACACTACATATTATCCCATTTAAAAAAAGACAAAAATGCCAGTGTCTGAAACCGTTTACAAGACCACAGAGCACGAGCAGCGGTACTCCCTTGTGGTGGGAGTAGCCTGGGCCTGGGGTTAGAGCAGGAGACAGCAGGAGCAGTAACAAACCTTGGTCAAGAGGACCCGCAGCACCACCGCCTCCCTCGGAACAACACCAACTGGCGACGCCTCGCTCCCAATTTTTCACTTTTACATAGCAGCAAACACAGACGTAAACAAAATGTCGAAAACGAACTAGATTTTTCGATTATACATTTCAAACTAATCTGAATTTACCCGAGGGAAATTAACACTCTAGTGGCTTCGACAAGGACAGGAAGTCGGCGGCTTGTCGAAGGTCAAAGACCTGCCCGAAACGCTATGTTTATTCAGGTATTCAGGTAAGGTATATACATACAAGTGATGTTACATTAATGGATTGATATATAGATAGAGCTAGTACATACAATGCCTAAAGCCACTATTACGCAATGCGTTTCGGGCAAGAAAAACATTAATATCTAGAACTTAATACTAATTGAGCATAAAGAATAAAAGGTGTTGAGAACAAATACAAATAAAGATAAAAAAAAAAAAAGGGGAACATGACTGAAAAAGCAGCACAAATACAATAGGTTGACAAACAGTGTTGATTAAAAAAAGAAAATAACAGATATGGGTTGACAATAGAGGAGTGAGGTAGATTACAGGGAATTTATTAGGTAGTGTTTAGTTTTTATCTTAAACTGGTTGAGAGAGGTACAGTCTTTAACATGGTTGGGAAGGTCATTCCACATTCTGGGCCCCTTGATTTGCAGAGCATTTCTAGTTTGATTAAGACGTACTCTAGGAATATCAAAACTGTATTTATTTCTGGTGTGGTGCTCATGGGTTCTGTTACAACCTTCTATGAAGCTTTTAAGATCAGGATTGGCATTATAGTTTAGCGTTTTATATATGTATAATACACATGAGAGAATGTGCAGTGACTTAATATCTAACATATTAAGAGATTTGAGTAGGGGTATCGAGTGATGTCTGGGGCCAGAGTTGGATATTGTTCTAATAGCGGCTTTGTGTTGGGTAATTAGAGGACGTAAGTGATTTTGGGTAGTAGAACCCCAAGCACAAATACCATAGTTGAGATAAGGATAGATAAGGGAGTAATAGAGAGTCACCAGGGCAGGGCGTGGTACATAATATCTGATCTTAGAAAGAATGCCCACAGTTTTTGAAACTTTTTTTGATATATTTAGAATGTGTCCCTGGAAATTCAGCTTGTGGTCAATGAGAATGCCAAGGAATTTGCCATCTAATTTGTTACAAATTTGGGTATTGTTTATTTTGAGATTTATAAGACTAGAGGATTTATTGCCAAACAGAATATAGAAGGTTTTGTCAATGTTAAGGGTGAGTTTGTTGGCAGTTAGCCAAAGATGGACTTTATTTAGCTCAGTATTTACTGTGGCATTTAGAGCAAGAGGGTCAGGACTGGAGTAAATGAAGGTTGTGTCGTCAGCAAATAGAATTGGTTTGAGGTGTTGGGAGGCATTTGGAAGGTCATTAATGTAGATGAGAAAGAGGAGAGGGCCAAGTATGCTGCCCTGAGGAACACCAATGTTGATGGGTAGGGTGGGAGAAATTGTATTATTCACAGAAACATATTGGAGCCTGTCAGTAAGGTAGGACTCGAGGTATTGTAGGGAGTGTCCTCTGACTCCATAATGATGTAATTTAAGAAGAAGGTTATGGTGGTTGACAGTATCAAAAGCTTTACGCAGGTCCACAAATAACCCAACAGGGAACTCCTTTTTATCAAGAGCTGTATGAATCGAGTTAAGCATACTAATAAGTGCATCGTTAGTGCTTTTTTTGGGTCTGAAGCCATATTGGCAAGGGCTAAGTATATTGAGTTTGGCTAGATATGAGTAAAGCTGCTTGTATATGTGTGTTAATGGCTTTGCAAGAATGTAAAAATATCACTAATGTAATCTCACCAACCCATTGTACCTTCTTGTAAATAAAATATTATTATTATTATTATTATTATTATAGGCCCCCCTCCCCACCAAATATGATACTAGGCACACAGAAGACGGATGGCACATATATGTTTACCATTTCGGACATCAAACTAATACGTTTCGTACACATATCATTGCTCAATCAATTTTAAAACCACAATATAATGTTATTATTAGTTAAAATCTTCTACTTAACATGTATATACTTATAAAATGAAGTTGAGTGATGTTTTGTTTGATTGTTGTCGCCAGAGGCGGCTAGTTTATTGTGCAACCCATACTCATCCTGTGAGCGGTAGCGAAAAAAAAACATTACAGAGGGCACAAAAGGTCTTTATCAGACCTCAATGAAAGGGAACCATCAGGGGAAAGCACCAAGCCATTGCGACTATATAGCACTGGGAAGGGATCAGGATAAGGATTTGGGATGGGACGGGGAGAAGGAATGGTGCCCAACCACTTGGACGGTCGGGGATTGAATGCCGACCTGCATGAAGCGAGACCGTCGCTCTACCGTCCAGCCCAAGTGGTTGGTTAGACCTCAATGGAGATTATTATATAAACAATTTCATCTATCCTTCACACCTTATAATTACAATGTCAGGTAGTTATAGAGAATGTTCTATTTCAAGAGCTATATATGTACAGTAAGTCATTATACATACATGGTAGGTCTTATCGCTAATACATAATTGTTTGAGCAATGGAGATATTACAGTCATAGGGGAGCTGCTGTTTATTATTAGTCTTCACAATACACTACTTATTTCTTAATCTCATTTGTCGTTTATCTACTGCATGGGAGCGAAATATTGATACAGTGCAAGGATATCTCTAAATGGCTCAATTTTACTACAATCTAAGATATAGTGTTCGAGTGTGTGTTCCTGTCTTTGTCCACACACTTTACACTTTACTTCATCTAGATACCAATACAAGCCGTACTGCCAGAGATACTTGTAGCCAAGTCTTATTCGAGCTGTGACATCGTCTGTTAGTTATTAATTAATTAAATTACAATAAATTATTAAACTATTTTTTTGTTCAGGAAAAGTACATACATAGTTGATTTACAAACATAATGTTAGATTTATAGATAGAGCTAGTACATACAATACCTAAAGCCACTAATACACATAGCGTTTCGGGCAAAGTGTGGGAGGGGGTGGGGAAACCACTTAGACTAAAACTTAATAGTAATTGGGATTAAGTATAAATTGTGTTGAGAAAAAGAATAAAGAATAAAAAAAGGGGGAGGGGAACATGGCAGAAATCAGCAGTTGTACAAGTTGGTGAACAAACAGCATTGTTTAAAAATAGCAAGACATGGGTTGACATTTAGGGGGTAAGGTGGGTTACATGGAGTTAATTAGGTAGTACAGTACTTAGTTTTACTCTTAAACTGGTTGAGAGAGGTACAGCCTTTGACATGATTGGGGAGGTCATTCCACATTCTGGGTCCCTTGATTTGTAGCGCGTTTCTAGTTTGGTTAAGTCGCACTCTTGGAATATCAAATAGGTATTTGTTTCTTGTGTGGTGCCCATGAGTTCTGTTACAACCTTCTAGGAAGCTTCTAAGGTAAGGATTGACATTGCAGTTCAGTGTTTTAAATATATAGAGTACACATGAGAGGATGTGCAGTGACTTAATATCTAACATTTTCAAATATTTGAGTAAGGGTACCGAGTGTTGTCTGGGGCCAGAGTTAGATATTGTTCTAATAGAAGCTTTGTGTTGAAGGCTGTGAGAGGACGTGAATGATTTTGTGTAGAAGAACCCCAAGCACAAATACCATAATTAATATAAGGATAGATGAAAGAGTAATAGAGCGTCACCAGGGCAGGGCGAGGTACATAATATCTGATCTTAGAAAGAATGCCAACAATTTTAGAAACTTTTTTTGATATATTTCGAATGTGTCCCTGGAAATTCAGCTTATTAGACACTAGCTCTCCGCATATGTCAGTTGTTTAATTTAGAAACTGTACTTGTGGTCGATCTCGAACCCATTTATGATGTGTGTTACGGACCCGAGTCCAGCGTCCGAGCCCGGAGCAGTGACGACCACGCCATCTGTGGGTCAGCTCCCGAAACCCCCTCCAAATGGACGACGCCATCTAGTGAGGACGAGATATACCGGCCACAAGGGCTAGTTTCCCGTCCTAATCAGCTCGTGACGTAGCCGCTGCTGACCTCTGGTGAGGTGCTGCTTAGACAGCAACGCCATCTATGGAGTGGATAGGTGGGCGTTTGTGTCTAAGCCTGTAAGTGAGGTGCCCTAGAGTGTAACCAGTACTGATGACGTGTCTGATTACAGAGTCGACCTGGGACTGCTGAATCGGACGGTGGATCAGTCTACCCAAGGCAGCCGTAGAACCTCCACGCATTTGCTGCTGAAGCTGTGAGTCACCCCCCCTCCCCGGATGAACACTGTTGTGTTAGCCTGCCTGTGAGGTGGCAGAACCAGGGATTGTCGTACCCGGGGCTGACTGGTGGAGAAGACTAGCCACTGGGGTGTTGTGGTGAGGAGAGTGATCTGTGGGATCACACGAGGCTCCTGCCTAGGGCTCGCAACCCTAGTATCGGTCGTGGAGTGGCCTAACCTGCGGAACTGATTGGAACCTGCCAGCTACAGGCTGGATTTGTGGTTGAAGGCCTCCACGACGGTGGCCTAACCTGCGGAACTGATTGGAACCTGCCAGCTACAGGCTGGATTTGTGGTTGACGGCCTCCACGACTGCGCACCCAGTGGGACTGTGATTTGGCTGGCCTGTGGCCGGGGTAGACTCGCTAGGAGAATCCAAGGATTCGTCGAGAGGCCACGAGAAGAGGATCAAGGGCTAAGCATCGTTGAGCACCGTGGAGCATCCTGTGTCTTCGGAGAAGAAGTTATTGTAAATAAGTGTAGTAATAGCAACCCCGCTTGTGACGGTTTATATACTTATTTATTGGTGATGGAATAATTATATATTTAAGTTTACGTGCAGTTTTATACCTTCCCCTTTAATTTACTTGCGTTACGGAGCACACCCCTTGAAAGCCACTACTAACTTGGGGCCGGATACCCAAACTCTATTAACATCAGAGAAAGAACCCAGTTGCGACCCAAGAGGGCCGTAACAATGTGACAACTTATACTGAATTTTGTAACTAGCTCATCAAGATTGTAACTTGCTTAACTAAATGAATTGTGGGGTTCAGTCCCTGAGCCCATTATGTGCCTCTGTAACCCTTTCCACTAGTGCCCACAAGATGGGTATGGGGTGCATAATAAATGAACTAAACTAAAAAAAACTAACTATCGATGAGAACACCAAGGAATTTGCCATCTACTTTG